TCCTTTAGGCGTGATATCGCCAAATGGACAAACCACAAGTGGCGCAGTCCAAAAGTAAAGTGCAGTGCAAACATATGTATTCGTGGTGCAACATTTTCGTTAAATCCATGCGACCTTCAGCTGATCAGCGATTTACGCTGTATTTCGCACCGAGTTTAGCTCTGAAACCGGTCTTTTTCACCTTCTTACTGTCATATCTCAGGTAATACTTGATGGATTTTTTTGTTCCCTTCGGTTTTGAAAAGAAAATTATATTCCTAATGCTATTGTGTTTGTTAAAATTTCATTCTCTAAAAAACAATCTCGTCATTTTTCACTTTTCGAATCGTACTATGGCTCCCGCTACAAGCGTAGATAGGCATTTTTCTGCCTTTTTCACAGCCTCAACAGTCTTAAAACTGCAATTGCTGTCCTTAGCCAATCGAAAGCCTATTTGTTCCCTCTGGATTAAGAAAGATGAATATTCAAGCTTTCTTGTCATATAAAACTTATTCTTATTGTTAAGAAAATCTTTCGTCAAAATGTTCGTTTCCATATTGAGAGCAATTCAACAAAGCCCGCGAAATGCTAACAAAAAGGATAGCTTTCTCCACAGTAAATGACGACCGCTGTGTAGACGTTGTAATGATTTGTTGAATTTTCACGTAGATTTGACCATTTATATGTAAGTATTCCATACATTCTTATTAAATACAATGTTGTGAACATTTATTGATTGTTATTAGTAAATTCTACGGTAGATTTAAGGACTCAAACCCATGATAAAAGTTAAGCTGTCTGTAGCTCAATTCTTGACATGGCCTCACCGGCCATTGTAGACATACCATTTATTGGACGGGGTTTCTTAATGCTAGGCTTTACAAGTTGTTAAATGAGTAATCCGTTGAAAGTATGATTGAAACATATTTATAGGCTCTCTACAATTGTCTAATCTTTAGGAGTTAGACCTATAGGCTATATTGAAAAGAAAATTAATACAATTTTAAAAGATTACCTTTTTTAACTGATATGGTTTTTACAAACCCCCTACTTTTAGGCCTATAAAAATAGTATTTTATAGGCATTGTACTTGATTATACCATGGTTATACCCTAACCTTTATTTTTTATTTTCAGTCATGAACCTGCGACGAAAGGAAAAGAAGGACTACAGGCTCCTTGGTAATGTCGACTTAAGAGGACATCGTAAAAAAAGAGAAACTTGGTCTAAAACAGCGCAATTTATTATATATAATTATTGTAATAACAAATATTAAAGTGCTTGTTATTTACGGTATGGTAGTTTTAGTAAACTTAATGTAAACCTACACAGGGAGTTGTTCTCAACTCCCTGACCTACATATGATACTGTAGATCATTAGTGTTTATTTTTCATTAATTTATTTCGTGCAGTGTCAAATTTTATATAATTTTCGTTGTATGGTTCATTGAGTTGATCTAATAAAAGAGAACAGTTAATTCAGATTGTAGTTTTTTGTGTAATTAATGTTGTTGATCTACGCTTTAAGTGTCTGTATTGTACTCGTTTTTTAACTGCATCACCCTTATTAGCCATAACAATTACTTTCCGATCAAATGGAAGAGTCCACCCTGATGAGTCACCACTGAAGGTCATTACACTGCAGCGCGTTTGGGACGGAATTTATTTTACATCTGTGTTGCAAAATGAGCCTACACGAATTCGTATGGTCAAGTGGCACAGTGCAAAGTCAAGTGGCGCAGTGCAAAAGTCAAGTAGTGGCACACGTATTTGGATTTGCACTGCGCCACTTTAGTTTTGCACTGCGCCATTCGACTTTCGCACTGTGCCACTTTAGTTTTGCACTGCGCCTCTTGTGGTTTGTCCTTTTGGCATTCCATACACATCATCAAGTACTACTGTCAGTACGGATTCGATTACTATTGTAATTTGTATTGTGTTAGAAGTGCTTGTTTGTAATTCTATTTCGATAGACATTCGTCAACGAAATAAATATTTCTTAAAGTATTCGAGAGAGAATACATTCACTGACTTTTTGGTAAGTGCAAACAGGTAAAAATGGTTTCATAACTACGCTAGTCTATATCCTAGGCCTAACACTAGTAGGAGGAGGACTCCTGCCTGGCAGTAGGCCTACATCTAATTTCGTTCCTTGAGTCATTGAAATAGGTCTAGAATATTCCTATCAAACGTTCAGTTTGTTTAGTTTATTCGGGTTCATTGATTGATGGAATTCCTTGATTGTTTATACTTAATATTGAATTTAAAGTAACTTTCGTAAGGTTTTAATTAACCTTTTTTTACAAAAGTGTTTTCAATTACAAATTTTCATCTCGGTGCGCGATATATTCGCGGTAACGAAAAATTATGTTTTATTTTTATTTTTGCACACGAACCTAAAAAAATCAAGCCAAGCGTCAACTATTAAAAAATTATTTGACTGTGGGGGATAGGTAATTAACATTGGCAGCTGCAGTGATGACGTCGCGATTGACTTATAATAAATAATATGAAGACCTGGTTGAAGCATGGAGTTCTAATTAATTTGATAACTCCATGGTTGAACCAGGCCCAGATCCTGGCTATTTATTATAATAGGTCAACTTATTTAGCTAGACCAGCCTACGCCTATTTCAATACATAGTATTGGCCTAGGCTAGGTTCATTATATTTTATAGATTGGTTAGCTATAGGCCTATTTCAGAACATAACTTTGAGGTAAGGAACCTTTTTAATGAAAGATCCCTTTTACCTTGGAATTGTTTGAAATAAACTGACCACCCCGCTAAAATGCGCCTTTTGTTGTAGGACTTCTGGCTCACTGAGTCATAGAGCCAATTGCTTCTTTAGAAGTCCCAAGGTCTTGTGTCAAATAAATAAATAAAATAAATTTTAAATTGTATGGGGCTAATTACTTTATGCTTGTCCTCAATGATAAGTCAACTATAAGGAGAACTGATGATGGTCTTCATTAGACTCAAGTAAATAAGTAAGTATGCCAGTATCTAGATTTTGAGATTAAATTATAATATATAATTATATTCCTCAGTTTATTAATTAGTTATTTTAGATACATAGGCCATGGCTCGTCTGGACATACTTATTGGGGCTGACATCATCTTCAAGCAGATGGATTGCCAGCCATTAAGACTACAGTAACACACAAGCGATCCGCCAAATTAAAATAACCAATCATGCAAAAAATACGAGAACAAGATGTACACATGATATAAATATTAGCACATTTCATGTGGGATATTTCAATGATTAATAATAACATGAAATGCAATACGAATGAATTACGGTAGAGTTTGCCGGCTTTGAAATTACGCCTGATAATGTGCCAGAAGTATCTAAAGTATCTGAAGTACTTTTTGCCAGAAGTATGTGAAGGCCATCAACGACTTCTCCGCACCAAGGAACATTACAGACATTTGCTCTTGGTTCGGCTTGGTTAACCAAGTGGCGTATGCAAAGCGGATATTCCCAATATCATAATAATACACAAACCATGTTAATTATTTTAAAATTATGGAAGTAATTTTAAACGATTTTTACCTTTCAAAATTTGCGCTGAATCCCTCGAGGTGAAAGACTTTAACGATGAATAGAGGGCCAATCGGCTACACAGAGTAAAACACTACATAGGCCTATTTAGTCTTATTTTAGCAGTAGGGATTAGGTCGTAATCACAAAAAGAAATAAAAACAATTTAATGGCCTATACTACTAGTACTACAATACTGTACTTAGTCTGTGGATTTTCCAACCTAATCCCATGAACAAACTATCTTACAGGAAGAGAAAATGGGCCTAATAAATTAAAATTAAAACATCTATTACAACCTAACTGCTGAAAACACGCTATATCGTCATTGTGAACTGTATATGCCCAGTACGGATTCCTATTTTTAGATATTTTCATCAATTTTGACGATTTTTAGCTCAATTGTACTAGAATTAGCTAAATATGCTTGTTTTGCTGGATTTTTTGCCGAAATTAGTTAAATCGTTGTATTTACACGACTTCTATGCTCTTGTATAACTTTTATAAAAATATAAACAAGCATACCTTTGGCAAAATTACACCATTTTCTATATTACAAAGGATTGGTCTAATTTTACTTTTTGATGACGAACGATTTTTTTATGGATTTATTATTAAATTTATTCTGGAGCTAACTTAAATTACTTTTTGCAGTTTTTCATCTTTTTCATATTGTGAAATTTTAAACGTCATCAGACTAGCATTTTGTGGTACTGTATTTAAAAAACTCTATAAAACAGCCGTTTTAATTTTTAAAACCCATGCTGATCGATTATGGATGCACAGTAGTTTACCGATTGAATTTCCAATTTAAATAGTTTGTTTTGTTTGTAAACCAATTTATCTTACATTGGTATGCCATGTTTTTAAATTAAATTCATTTCTTTTCTATTTTAAAACAAATGTTGCTAAATTTGTATTCTGGTTGTTAGCTTTTTTGGTAATTTTTCTTTTGAAAGTTCGCATTTAAGGACGCAATGTCGTAGGACAAACTAATCAGAAAGCATATTTTTTATGCTTTATATCGACGTTACAAGTTCAGTTATGAATTCCAAATTTCAGTATATATATATCGTAATTGGCATGGTCTACAGTAAAATAATCAAAGGTCATAAAGTTTATGCTTTATATCGAAGTCATAGAGTAAAGTGAATTGTGTGCTTGAGGGCAGTGTCCTTTTCTTCAAATTCAATTACTTGAATGTACTATAATACTATACACCAACTGCAATAATCTACACTACAGTAGTAAAATCATGGTAAAATAATCAAAAGTCATAAAGTTTATGCTTTATATCTACGTCATGAATAAAGCGAATTGTGTTGTTGAGGGCAGTGTTTTTATTTCTTTAAATTCAATGACTTGAAAATACATTTAAGAACCAGACATCAAGTTTATGACTTATGAAAACCCGTATGTTTGTCAAAATTTAGACTAGCATGCAAATAACAGTCAAAATGATTCACGAATGCATATCTCATTATTATAAACTGAATACAATTTATTTTCTAATTACACATGATACATTACGAATATTTTCCTATTACATTATTCTTAGTTAACATCAAAGAACCACTTTCCTCCTCAATAAATATTTGAAAGGCTAAATTTATTCTCTTTTCTTCGCCATTGTAAATTTCCAATTTCTAATCGTTGTGTATATCGAATTTATTTATTAAATTACAATTAAAAATAATAATTAACAGTGCCAATTCATCCCAAGTTCAGTCATTAAAGATAGTTTTTGTATACACTCTAATTGTTGTTATTAAATATATTATTTTAAGCATATTGATTTGTCCTTTTTAAACAGTAAAAACCCCTACAACCTATAAATATTCACAATGACTTTAAAAACGACCTTAAAATGAGATTTGTCTTATTGCATTAAGAAGAGCATAAAAAATGAAAATTCACATTGTCAATAGATGTATCTTTAAAAAATCAACTGTATTTAGTATATTTTTTATTTAAATTAGATGGAAGTTTACTCAAAACATCAACTTATGAGTTGTTTTGTCGTGTCAGGGCCACGTGTAGTTAGGCTAGTCCCTAGTCTAGGTCTTTGGTATGGGTCCACCTGGTCCTACGATCTATTGTTGAATCAGTCGTCTCCATATCTATCTGCAATGACAAATTGTAATGGGAATATATTACTACTTTGTAAATCCTAAATTAATCGTTTTCTGTACAAAGACGACATATAATAATAATATTCAAAATAATATAAGTATATTATTATATTACAGTATATACAGCTGAAGCAAATTTATTTAGATTCAAATTTGTTTCAAAATATGCGAACAGTGACAGTGGTGGCGGCGGCATCATAAAATACATAAGAAAATTTTACAGTCGAAAGGACTGTAAAATGAAAAGGAAGTCAACTCAAACAAGGCTCAAAATCTACTTCAAGATAAGGGTTTAGGTATCAGGATCTTGCACTAATCTTTTACTGCATTTATATATAAATTATACAATTAATGGTTTACAATATAATCTTTAATTATTTACAGTATAGATATATACTACATAACAATTAATGCTTTAAAATATAATCTTTAATTATTTACAGTACAGATATATACTATAACAATTAATGCTTTAAAATATAATCTTTATTATTTGCTTAAGGGTGTAGTATGCTGCCCTGTCATGAAAAAAACACTCAACTGACAATTTTAAAGCGATAAAAAAACATGAACATACCTTGCTCTTCTGAATAAGAGTATCGCATTTTGATTACCCTACTGTCATCTGTAAGCATACTTAGGTTTTGTAGTATGTCTCCGGCTTCCTCGCAGAATGTGATGATTACATCTGCTAACATCATGTCTTTGTTACAAAATTGAATAGCGCGGAATTAATTATTTTGAGAGTTTGCAAATTACACTACGTATAACTTCATATAGACTTTTTCTACATGAATTGTGCAATAAGTTTTAGGTATGAATCCGCTATAGTATAAGACCCAATACAAGAACGCCATTATTAAATCAAAAGAAAAAAAAAATCTATAGCTGATCACGTTTGGTATTTTTTCAATACTCAATTATACATGGTGTAGGAATAGGGAGGGAGATCAAGAATGGAAAATGGTGAATACTACTTTTTTCTCAAATTATTATTATCATATTTTATTATTATTATTATTATTATTATTATTATTATTATTATTATTATTATTATTATTTAATATTTTATTTTACTGTTATTATTAAGTATTCACCATGTATTAAAATTCACAGTACAGTACTTGCTAATAATGTGTGCATTTCACTATATTTTTAGGCCTGTACATGAAATAAGGTTTAGTTATGATGCCACTATACTATAAGACCCAATACAAGAACGCAGTTAAATACAAAAATCTGTAACTTATCATCCTATATTAATTTACAGAGATAATTATTGGTGTTATTTTCGGTATTTTTTTAATAGTCAATTATACATGGTGTAGGGGGTAGGGAGATCAAGAATGGAAAATGGTAAATAATACGTTTTTCTCAAATAGTTATTATCATATTTTCCATTATTATTATTATTATTATTATTATTTTTATTATTATTTTTATTATTATTATTATTATTATTATTATTATTATTATTATTTAATATTTTATTTTACTATTATTATTACGTATTCACCACGTATTAAAATTCACAGTACAGTACTTGCTAATAATGTGTGCATTGCACTACAATTTTAGGCCTGTACATGAAATAAGGTTTAGATATGATGCTGCTATACTATAAGACCCAATACAAGAACGCAGTTAAATTACAAAAATCTGTAACTTATCATCCTTGTAAGGTAATATGTACCTTGCCGAGTTCGTATGAGGCCTAGGCCTACCGGCATATATTAATTTATAGAGATAATTAATTTTGTTCATTTTTTGGTATTTTTTAATACTCAATTTTACATAGTGTTGGGGTAGGGAGATCAAGAATGGAAAATGGTGAATAACTTAATAAATATTGCATTTATTATTTAAATCGTGGATGTTCAATATGCATTTCAATAAAATAAAAAATTCCAATAAAATATTAGGCCTATATATACTTAGCCATACCATAAGAAGATTAAGACATTCGTTAATGCTGGGATGAGTGTCACATATGACACTCATCTCATCATTAAAATGGTTTATGTCAATGATATTATTATATTTGTTTGAATTTATTTTTTGATGATCCAATAAATGATTTGAATAAATCCGTTAACTTAGAAATTCAAACAAATAGTATTACTTGAGATCCAGATGAATCTATTCACAGATATTATTATAGACACGTAGATAACAAATCATTCAGTCTGTTTTAAACATTTAAGGATTATTAATTCAATCGAAGTCTCTGCAAAAGTTGGATTGAATGTCAATATATTTTAATGGTCTAAATAATGTAACTTTAACTAATAATTAGACAATTGGTACATGTGTGTTAAAGAAGGGTTCATAATTATTAATCCTTGTAAATAACACTGTATCGTGGAAAATTGTCATATATTGGTTTATGTCCGTATACCATATTGGTTAGTGCCTGACTAACGTTGACGATTATTTGATTACAGGCCCAATGTAAAAAGTATTGTGAATTTTAATATATAAACAGTAATTCACAATTCTTTCCTGGATCTAGTATTAATGTCAAAATGGATTATAATCCCCTGTTTTAAACATTATACTGATTATTATTTTAATCACAAAAATCTGTAACTTATCATGGAAGGTAAATTATAGGTACCTTGTCGAGTTTGCATTACACTACGTTTAGGTCGATAGGCCTACATGCAATATTTTTTAGTTAATAGATAT